TAGAGAGAGAGAGAGAGAGACAGAGACAGAGACAGAGACAGAGAGAGAGACTGAGACAGACAGAGAGAGAGAGAAAGAGGGAGAGAGAGAGAATTTACAGACACACTGTGACCAATTTCACAATCCCCCTTGTATTTACCTCAGGCAGATTATCGTCATACATGAGCTCATCCAGAGTCCTGAAAGTAATGCTTCTGTTGACCTTCTCAGCCCGGAACACCTTGTGTCTTCGACGGCGCTGCATGCGTGGGGAGCCACAGCCATCTGTGTAGACCTCCGCCTCTGATTCAGAGCTCGAGTCACTTTCGATGGCATTTCCGGGTTGTGGGTCCACTGGTGTCGCAAAGAAAACGAATACCACGATATTGATTTTAGGCAAATAGACGTGTATTATGACAAACAATCTTAAAGCAGCATTGCATGGTACAGCTTTTGCCTGGGTGGTAGACATGTAGGAATAAGATTGCCCACATACTGCCTTCCTCCTTTCAGATCTTCACTTCTTCAATGTGCTCAAAAGGAAAAACATGGTCAATATGTTTAAAACTAAGGTTTATAAGTTATAGGTACAATAGGAGTATTTATTATTGTGGAGCATTTCAACATTTTAAAATATTGTCCCAGTGGCAGTCTAAGGGCCAGTTTTTCTACAATTTTCAACCCCTAAGGGGTTTTTAACATGTGAATTTGTGCACACCGGACACACCTGTACTGAGAGACAAATTATATTGGAATAAATCAAATCACTTTAGGTTTTTCAATGATGTGATCAGCATCAGGAGTTTAAAACACTTGAGTAAAAAAAATGAGCTTGAAGACACACAAGATTATTGTTAAGAACACGTATTTCAATCCCCTCAATTTAATGTAAGTGGACCCTGGTCCAGTAAACAAAAGCAACAGTTTAAAATTCAATTTTGAGTATCCTCTTCGATCGTTCTACAGACCTTTACTCGAGGACTTGATCTTGGGGTCAAAGATGATAAAATCAGGTCTGAGCTTGCTGGCTCTCTTGCCCTTGAGCAGGGGCACCAACCCCCCCAGGTACTCCAGGTACAGAGTGTAGTGGCCACCAGAGGTCTCCTCTCCGTGCCGGATCATCGTGCAGAACAGCCGCTCGCCGCCCGGTGGAGGTGAACAAACAAACTCACGGAGCCGGAGAGGGTCTGGAATGTAGCTCTGAAAGAAAAGCCAATTTACAAAGGCTGACATTTTTTTAAAAAGAAGTTTTTTAAAAACAGAAAAAATAGAGGGAGCAAAAAGAGGCAGGACCTCCCAGTGGCACCCTCCAACCACAAGGAAGTGACACTGAAAATGTATATTTTGAAAGAAACGCTATAAGATAAGGCAGTCTGTGAAAAATTATCAGAATGTATATTTTGAAAGAAACGCTATAAGTTAAGGCAGTCTGAGAAAAATTATGAGTAAATTATCTATATATACGAAACAAATATTTTAAAAAATTTACTGCAGTTCTTAACAAAGTTAGGACAATGGTAGTCATGAAAAGAAAAAAACAACTGAGACACGTTATATCATAAGTTCAACAAATCATGATTATTGCGCAACATTGTCTAGAAAACACAGTCAGGTGTCACCAGGAAGTAAAAAAGTAATATCATCAGAGCTTTAAGCCCCCCTTGGTGATGTATATCAGAAATGGAGGGCGAAGCTAATGCAAATGGTGAAGAGACAAAACCTAACATCATCAAATTCAATCATCAGCTGAATTTAAAACATTACAAGGTGGACTTTGAAGTTATTAATTAAGGGCAAACCTTGATGGTGGGGGAGAAGAGAGCTTTGACCCCACACCGCAGCCTCTGTGGGATGGGCAACTTGTCCACTGCTTTCTCCGTGCGCACCGCCTGGTGCAGTACTCTCTGGCACAGGAAGTGTAGTGGCGCCACCTGCTTGCTGACCCACGCCACGTACATGTGACAGCCCGCGGCTAGGAACAGACGCTTGTCGTTGTGACCCCATGTCATGGCAGCCAAGGGCTTTCCCTGTCAGAAGAAATGGTGTCACTGGAAATGGTAACATGCACCATAAAATATCTACGACATAGAGTGGTTGACTTACAGAAAGTTTAGAAGGCTGGCTGGTCCAACCCTACCGGTCAGGACCTACCACACTGGAGTGGGAAAAGGCTTACCAGCAAACAGGCCGAGAAACTCAATAATACAACTTTCCTACTTTGGAACGAAACTATCAAGGCACCCCCGAAATAGCAGCTCACAAGAGAGTGACAAACATACAAAAGAAGCAGAGGAAAAATGACTATAGTAAGGATGAGGAAAGTAAAAGCAGCATTTGGAATCCCCATGCATGATATGAAATGTGTTAACGTAAGACAGGTTCCATACAAACTGTTTCTCATTGATATTCATTACTGCTCATACAAAACTGTACAATTTGTTCATGATGGATGTAAGTCAGTGTTAGCCCAAAGAGTGTTCTAATGTGTGCCGGTTAGAGAGGGGACTACCTGAGAGGGTATGGTGACCCAATGGATGAGAATGCCGTCCTTGGAGTAGAAATGCACTTCGTTGCGACACTGCAAGTTTGGCAGCCGGACAAACCCCCCGACGGCCAGGTACTCTCCACAGTTTGACCAGTCGATCTTCACACCTGCCACAGATGCAAAGGTTAATAAATAAACTTCATATAACGAGAAAAAGTGAAATGCGAAGTACAATCGCAAGCACAACTTTCTATAGAAAGAGCAAATGAGCCATGAAGCGGTGTAATCAGGTGCTCGTCCACTTTTGTGCATATGGAATTATAGATGCTATCTTAAAGCTTGTTCATTTGGTTCCTTTTAAAGAAAAAATTACTTATCTATCTTGAATAGAAGAGGAGAGATTTGCAATTGAACTAAGTGGGGGTCCCCTGGTGTCAGGGGAAAACATAGTCAGAAAATGGCCACTAAAGTTTGGTGACTCTCGTAACCTTGTTGGTAAAGGAAAAGAATTGTCTTTTTACAACCCCTTATTATAAGCTTGTTGGTAAAGGAAAATAACCTTCCTCACACCATCCTTTATGGGAAAGCCTGGGGTTCCAAAGCATGAAGTTGTGGTTTAAAAATCCATTTCAACATGACAATCATTTAATGGCATTGCACATTACGTTGTTGATATATTATACTGTACAAGTTGATATATTATACTGTAAAAGTTGATATATTATACTGTAAAAGTTGATATATTATACTGTACAAGTTGATATATTATACTGTACAAGTTGATATATTATACTGTACAAGTACCCAAACAACAAGCTCTCTGCACAACAGTCAAAATCTCTCTGACATGGAAGGAGATAAAGTGAGAGTCAGAAAGGGTCAGTCACCTGTGAGTGTAGTGTAAACCATGACAGGGCAAACGTCATCGTATCCCGACATGAGGAAGATGTCCCCGTACTTGAAACACACTGCCAGCACATGGGACTTGCCGCTACTCTCAGAGCCTGGTGGGGGACACAACGACATTTCACCTTCCAGTATATGAATCTTTGTTATTTAGTTTTAGTTTTAGTAAGAGTGTTACGGCACTTGCAATACAATAAGGTCATATAAGTGCCCAAGATTAGAGGTGTTACAAGAGAGTAACAAACAGAAACTAGAAGGAGGGGAGATAAGGACGAATCATGTCTGATAGGAAAGAAGGAGCAAATAACACCAGAGCACCAGCCAACCACCCACATCTTTAAGTTGAAGTAAGAGTTTTATAGCATTTGGAACACAATTAGGTCATATAAGTGCTGAAGGTTAGTGGTGCTACAAGAGAGTAACAAACACAAAAAAGATGGAGGAGAGATAAGTACGACAGATGATTGATCTGATAGAAGGAGCAAACCACACCATAGCACTTGCCAACCATCCATTAGTAAAGAAGAAGAAACTACAAAGGCGGCACTCTCGAACATCAGTAGGGACAGAGCTAGCGTATGTCGTTGTTATAACCGTTGTTTTTTTGGGGGGGTTTTTGTGGGGGGGGGGGATTTTTTCTGTGTAGTGTATGATGAACCAACACATTAGCAACAATATTCCATAGGGAATGAAAGAATTCATTCAAAGTATAAAGAGAAGCATACCAACACAACAACAGCCACTTACAGTTGAGGGAAAAACAAAGTAGACCACAGAAACAACAGAGGCAAGAAAAAAGAAGTGGCACTCTCTAACTATACAGGAATAATATAGTACAAAATGTGAAAACTAAAATAGGATGTTTACAGAGCAGATTAGAACAGAATGCCAATCAACTGCTTACAGAGAGTAAGACACACACACACACACACACACACACACACACACAAACACACATGCACACATACATACACACACAGACAAACACACACACATACACGAACACAGACACACACATATAGACACTAATACACACACACCACAGTGAGCGAGCGCTCGCGCGCGCGCGCGCGAGAGAGAGAGAGAGAGAGAGAGAGAGAGAGAGAGAGGGGGGGGGAGAGAGCAAGGAACAGAAATAAAAGTGATAAAGACAGAAAAAGAGAAAGGAAGAGGTAAAGGAAAACAGTGAGGTAAAAGAGACAGACAGACAGACAGACAAACAGACAGACAGACTGACAGATAGAAACTGAGAAAGAAAGTGAGAAAACATAATACAGAGTCAGAGAAAGAGACCCAGGACAAATGGAAAGAGAGATCAGTAACATCATCACAATCGTCATCATCATCATCATCATCATCATCATCATCGTCATCATCACCACCACCACCACCATCATCATCTATCATCATCATCCCCATCACCATCATCATAAACAACAGCAGACACATCCATCCATCCATACAGCAAACACACACACCACATACAATCAGGACAAAGCCACAGAGAACGACCAGAAACCTCTCGAGGTGTTGTCCGCTGCTGACCGGTCGGCCTCGGCCATGTTGAACCTCTCACAGGACCAGGCCATGCTGGTGATTTCCGAGCCCTCGTGGATGGACACCTGGGACACCACGGAGCCCGCCGAGCTCATCACGATGATCTGACCGTCCAGGGTGCCGAAGATTACCTGTTTGTAGAAAAGTTTTAGAGAGTTTTACGGCATTCAGTTTTAGTTTTAGTAGAGGTTTTACGGCGCTCGCAACTGCATAAGGTCATATGCACGCCAGAAGATTAGAGGTGGGTTTTTTTTGTAGAGGTTTTACGACACTCGCAACTGCATAAGGCATATGAACGCCAGAAGATTAGCGAGGTGTTACAAGAGAGTAACAAACATAAAAAAGAAGAAGAGGAGATAACAACACTCAACAGCACAACGTTTGCTTCAGCTATCAAGGCATCCCAGAAATAGCAGTTCACAAGAGAGTGATTAACATACAAAAGAGGTTGAGGAAGAATGACGATAGTAAGGACGAGGAAAGAAAAAGCATGTTGCTTCGGCACAGTATAAGCATGACATTGATAAATCAGCCCATTTACAATTCCACTGTGCTTAAGAACATATTATCCCCTTTAGGAATGGCCTAAAGCCACTTCAGTCAGTTGCACTGTTCTGGG